AATTTAGTTATTATTTGGATTCTGATATTTTATTTCGGATTTCTATTTTAACCACTATCACTCTTTATTTTAAATAATATTATTTCAAAATAATATTGTAATTTTTATTGATTTATTTATATATTATTAGATTTTTTAAAAAATTGGGCCTCATTTTATTTATAGAACAAGACATTTACATTCTTAGGGCCGACCCTGATTAGATATATATTGGTAATGACTAGTTCACTAATGGAGTATATCATACTCCAAATTATCTGTCCGTTTGATATACTTCGTTGAGCTTCGTCAAATCAGAATCGTCGATTATAATTTTTATTTATTAAATTGGTCTTCAACTTTTTGATTTAGCGAATTGGAAGGTGAAGTTTATCCATTAGAGGTTGGTGTATAATATGAGCACTCAAACTCAGTTTAATTCACGATCTATATAGAAATATATACTAAGAATAGATGGAGTATGAGCTGAGAACTAATCAACCATTGATTAAATGACTGATCACATATTGAGAAGCAATAGATGAGAATTTCCTACATATTTGACACATTACTAATCCCTTAGTCGTTTGCTTATTATACAATCAACCTTAATTTTGTTTCGATGGACTTTTGGATGCCCATTAATCATGTGGATTGTGCTGCCGCAGTAATTAAAAGTTTTTTTTTCAAACAAGATAAACATTTCCACATATGAATATTTAAAGACGTCAATATGCTATTTCGACGTTGAATTTAATGTAATTAATAGGCCTAATACCACTAGAAAACCCGAACTATTAACTTTGTGTCATTTGTGTCCTAAAGTATTCGATATGACATTTGTGTACTAAACTATTTTTCCGTTAGAGTTGACTAGCGTTGACCGTTAGTTTTTAACAGAAAGTCTAGTCAGCGCTTACGGGGCATCTGATGTGGAACTTTTATTATTATTTATTTATTTATTCTTATTGCTTAAAAAATAATTAAAAGGAGCATAATTGGAAAATTGAAAGCCTCCGCCACCACCAAAATCCTCCTCCTCTGCGATAAGTCCTTTCCTCTGCTTCTCGAGCCGCCGGGAACTCCGGTCAGCTCTCCCCTCCGCTGCCTCCTCACCTCCGTTCCCGCCTGTCGCCAAATACTTATTGGCTGAAGGCCAAATTGACGCCTCCACAAATCTGTTCCTCTCCACGCATCCCAAATTGACGCCTCCACTGATCTTATCCTCTCCTCGCATCCCTAATCGATTGCCACATCCCACTTGATCGAGTCCTCCTCTTCCAGTCACTCCAATCGAGGCGATTTCTTGGTGCAGCTGCTGAGAAGAAAACGAAACGGGATCAATATCTGTTGATCGTCACCAGTGGGGGGCTGAATAAGGAGAGAACGAGGGTGAGAACCCATTCTTTCCGTCAACGTTCACCCAATCGTCGTCGAACAAGCAATTTTCGGTGGTTTTCGCTTTGAAAACAAAAACCCATCAACGCAGCTGCTTCTTCGATTGATAGAGACCCACCCACAACTGCTTCTTCGATTGACAGAGGAACCCCCGAGTCGGTCCCCTTTTCCGCAATCTTCTCCGTCGGGATTCGCCGTTGTCGGAAGCAAGCTAGCCTTTCATCGCTCAGATCCAAAATGTTAACTTCATAGCAGTACCCAATGGAGAGAACCCAGAACAGAACCTAGAACAAAAGAAAACCACCCAGAATCGAAAATGAAAACCTTTAGGGTTTCAAAATCAGGCTAGATCCGGGAGGAAAACGAAACAAGAAAGTGAAAAATGGAAGGGGCAAATTGACGATATGAAGAGATGAGGATATGTGGTTGAAAATAATTTTAATTTTTCATTTCACTTGTTAAAATTTTTAATTTTTAATTTTTAATTTTAATTGTTAATTGTTAATTTGAAAATAACAACCTGATGTGGCAGCTGACGTGGCGCATACGTGGCTGCCACATATGTGCCATGTGATCAAAAGTCAACATTTTATGGTTGACCGTTTGGTCAACCGTTATCTATAACGGTCAACGAAATTGTCAGGACGTAAATGACACACAACTATCATACGTCAGGACACAAATGTCACATCGAATACTTTAGGACACAAATGACACAAAGTTAATTGTTCGGATTTCCTAGTGGTATTAGCCCTAATTAATATTGGGTACCTTTTTCTTGTTGTGTGGGTTGCTGCTTGTATTGTACATTTGTACTTGCTTGGTTTGGTCCCCTCAACTCAACTACTTAAAAGCTGGATACGTACATGCACGAAGGAAAGGTAGGAAGGAGTCAAAAAAATAACAAACGCGCTTTCTTTGTTGGTGTCGGATTCAAGTATTCAATGGAACTAGTTTCGGAGAGTTTGACGGATGATAATTTCGACCTGATTCGTTTTATCTAATTTGTTATATCTGATTCGTTTTTTACTTGTTTTGAGGTGTATCCGATCTATTTTGTAGGCGGGACCGGCACAGGTATTCACATTGACTCGTCCTGTCCTGACCCGCCCCATTCTCGACCGTTCTTGCTTAAATTAAATATAATGTAATCAAATTATTTAGAATTTCAATAAATTTTCAAACAAGAAAGAACCTCAATTTGTCTAATAATTTAACTACATTTATCATATTATAGTTTGTTTCTTGATCTTTTAATGACAATAACGAATATTTCTAGTGTTTTTTCTACCATATCATATCCATTGAGTGCGTTGCATAGCTCAGACATTTGCTTGGGTCATTCGAGGTTTGGACGTCGGGGGCTTATGGGCTGCTGGAGTTTATCTTGAACTTGCAGGCCCAATAGTATTTTGTGACCAGTAGTTTATGAATGTGTATTATGGGCCCAGACTGTTGATAGGGTCATCAGCAACAATCTATTATCTATGGAGTTATGGACTAACTAACAAGTGGGTCAACTGGTTTTGTGGTTCGGGTGGGGATACATTTTAAATCATTATTATTAATTCTCTCTTAACAATAATTAACCACTTATTCTTAATTTTTTATTATTACGAGAGAACTGTCTAATATTTTAATTAAATTAATTTTATCAATATGTTGTCGAAGTAAATCGTCTTTATAAAAAAAATATGTTGTCAAAGTAATATCTATTGTAGGAATTTGTTTAACTAAGAATAGACGAAGGTAGGTCGAGGATTATTTATGTGCATAGTGCTCGGCCCAAAGAAAGACACTATCTGATCAATAATCAAGCATCTTATAATGGTAAATGTATAATAGTTATAAAGTTATTGTTCATGTGAATAATGGTCAGTCCAAAAATAGACGTTTTTTTGACGGAAACTTATTTATTAGCATTTGATGATTGTATTAAGAGTGATGCTCGCAGATAATTTCTCTGTCCAAAGATTAAGAGTTAATGTTGCATTTGGTATCTTATGATCGGTTCCCCAAAACTGGATAATTTCCTTGTCTTGTTTAATTGCAGGGTATGATGTATGTTTTCTTTTATCTTCATATAGTTTTCATGCCTTGTTTCAAATTCTTCTGCCGAATTTATTGTTATAGCTTTGCTGAATGGGATAAATCTAAAGATTTTGGGAGAAAATTATAAAAATTATTCTCGATATGTTTCGATCTTGCACTTTTAAGTGGAACAACCCCTATTCTATTCCGAAAAATCTCAATGAGATTGAATAATGAAAAAGTATGGATTGCTTCAAATGAGTGTGTTTGATGATCATTAAGCACTCTATTCGATGAATAATTTAGGGGCTCTTTTACTAATAACGTTCCATGCACTAATAATACAATACTTTGCCATACAGAAAAGATTTGGGGGCAAGTTGCCTACTAGGTTAATTTGATTCGATACAATGTAAAATACAAAGGGATCATAAGGAGTACATCATTCAAATGTTTCATCTTGCATCAAAACTCAAGTGATTAAAGTTAGAGTTGTCTACACACTAACTCACACACTTAATTTGACTTGTCTTCCTCCACACCTTAACAAAATTTAAGATTGAATTGAAATATTCATAAAAAAGAGGGGTGAAGATACATTATAAGATTGTGCTCGTTCACTTAACTTCAAAATTCTCTATAAATGAACAAGTGGAGCGCTAAACATGTTGTGATTTGTTGAACTCTTAAGGATAAGCTTATACTCTCAAAAGTGGATCAATATCATGGAATGAAGTCAATAAAAGACAATGATGTTTGGTATCTTGTCGAACTTAAGGTTTGAAACCCATTGGTTATAAATAGATATTATGACCTATGGGGATTCAAAAGGAGATATTTAGGGTTACAAAACTTGTCTCGTCTTTAACATCTTCAACCCCGCAGGAAGGGATTGAATTTTTAATTTTGACTAAGAGCTAGATGAGATGGATGAAGGGACTATGTTTCTCAACGAAAACATTTGTGAGATGATTTACATGGTTCAACCATAAATTTTTGCTTTAGACAATCTAAAGTTTATGGTTTGAAAATCAATGAATCCATTTTTGTCTCACATTGGCTTCTCGTTAACAATATCACAAGTATCATCAAGTTATTCGCTCATTCGGTTAAGAGAGTATTATTGGTGATGATTGTTTATAGTTAAATTCATCGGGAGTATATTCTTATGTTTTCTTTCATCATTGATGTTCCACTTTATAGTCGCGATATATGCTTAGTGCACGAGATGGATAAACTTTTGCAATGAAATATGAGATAAAATTTTATGGTCTCACCTCTTTTGATTTGGTAGATAAGTTAGTAAACTAGGTGATTTGTTGTAGACTTGTTGCTAAAGAAGACATTTTGGTCTCAATGAGTGCCCCGATAATAATATACAAACAATATATGTTGTTTTATCAAACATACCTCTGTACTTTATAAAAATGATCAAACATGTCGTTTTGTTAAAAAAAAAATTTTAAAAAAAAAATTAACCACGAACGAACTTTAATTTGCGCGACGCAAATATCTAAAATATCCCTAATAACCCGTATAAAAACCCCAAAATGGAAAGGGAAATGCAAACATAAAGCCGTATAATTACACTTGTATTAGCTTCTACCACACCACCCTCTCAATTCTTACGGCCACTAATCCCATCGCCATCAAGATCAAGTGCTGTCGCCGTACAATAAAAAAAATAAAATGAAGGAGCAAACTACGCGCGCCATGTGGTGGAGATCGCCGTCTTTCATCCTCGACAATCGGCAGCAGGCACAGCCATACGACACCGCTCGAGGCGGCGCCCTCTCCATTCCGCCACCTCCGTCCACTGCCATGGCGGATCCTAACCCTAACCCCAACCCCCTCACCGACAAAATCTCCGCCTACTACCAGACCCGCGCCGCCCACCACGGCGTCGTCTCCAGCGACTGGCTCGCCCAGGCTCAGGCCGCCGTCGGCCACATCCCCGACGTCGACGACGATGCCGCTAATAGCGACCAGGGAGCTCCTCCTGGCGAGCCCTTCAGCGTCATCGACGAGTTCAACAACTGGCGCAAGCAGCCCGACTTGGCCGAGGCCGTCGCTGCTATCAGGGCTCTCGCCGCCGTCATTCGGAATAGCCAGGCTACGACCATGATGGAGCTCGAGATTGAGCTCAAGAAAGCCTCTGACTCCCTCAAGGTTAGTTCCTTCCAATTTTTCTTGCACGACTCTTTCGAGTAATTTTGTCCGAATCCGCTCGGCGCCCTGCAATTCTGCATCTCTTGAAGCCAGGACTTAGAAAATAGTCAAGAAACGAGCTAAAAGTTTAGGAAGAAAAGACTTTATGCTCAGCAACTCTTAATTGACATCCTGGTTTTGCTTAGCATACACTTCATTATATACAAACGTCAAATTTTAATGGAGAAGGTGGTAAGTGGGGATGGCTGATTCTTGAACCCTTGGATTCCATTCAATGCTGCAGTCATCTCAACGTGGATGTTGTGAATGACTATGTGTTTGTTTTTGCTCCTGGAGGGATTATATACTCTGTTAGATGAACTGTCTGGTTCTTATTTTGGTCGTTGATGGAGGTGAAGTAGGTGAATCAAATGTGTCTTCATCCTGGAGATCTTGTGTGGCTATATGTTTCAAGTTGTCTGTTGCAGTGAGTGTCCTTACTTCCACTGCAAAATGCCTGAAGTTTTAGTTCCTCACGTCTGTGATTACATGCTTCTTTGCTATATGATTGGAAATGGATCATATCAACATCAAGCTGTCACTAGCCATGTTTAATGCAGAAATAACCTTAGTACACATGAGTGATTGCTTCTTTTAGCATGATCACTGAGTAAAAATTGGGTGTCTAGTCATGGGACACGACATCAATCTCTTTAACTGCAGGATGTGATCTGTTCATGCGATATGTAACCAGAACTTCAGCCTTGGAATATGAGGACTTCAATTCGGCTAAAACCCGCTTGATTGAACGTGCTGAGAAGTTTGGAGAGATATCCTACAAGGTAGCCAATCCAGCTCTGAGTAGTAATCCAGTAATTTCTTTTTACATATCTCTAATTGGTATTCACATTAAAGACACTGGTTGATTTGTGTGCAGGCACGTAAAATCATTGCGATGCTTAGCCAAGATTTCATCTTTGATGGTTGTACAATCTTGGTACATGGCTTCTCCAGAGTTGTGTTGGAAGTTCTGAAGATGGCAGCTCAAAATAAAAAACTTTTTCGAGTTTTCTGCACAGGTATGCTTGAAATTCCTGCTGCACGTTCTTGGAGATTGTTGCCCTGTGTGTGAAATTTAAGCAGCTCTTACCTTGCAGCAGTTGTGCCAGTCACTCTCATAGTCTCTTTGATCATTTCCACTACCTGTTATGTAATTTCATGTGCTGAACTTTGCATTAGAGATATTAAATAGCTCTTTCCCTTGTCTTGTCAGTTGTAATGGATGTTATCATTCTGTCATTTGGCAATTCAACTTTTGACTGTCTGACTATTACCATGTACTCTTCTGCTTTCTTCTTCTTGTCGTCCACTGACATTTCTATGCGTCAAAATGCAGAGGGAAGGCCGGACAGAACAGGATTAAGGTTGTCTAATGAGCTAGCCAAGCTTGATGTCCCAGTGAAGCTCCTTATAGACTCTGCTGTAGCGTACTCCATGGACGAGGTGGACATGGTGTTTGTGGGAGCAGATGGTGTGGTGGAAAGTGGAGGTATAATCAACATGATGGGGACGTATCAGATTGCCCTCGTGGCACACAGCATGAACAAACCTGTTTACGTGGCAGCTGAAAGCTACAAGGTAATTTCTTGTTACTCCCCTGCGTGCTTTAACTTTCTTATGGGCGATTATTCAAACAATTTGTCTTTCGTTCGTGATAGTTATGCTCTTTATATTATGTTGGCTTTTGCAGTTTGCTCGTCTGTATCCCCTAGACCAGAAGGACTTGGGTCCTGCATTACGCCCCATAGAGTTTGGAGTTCCGATCCCATTGAAGGTAGAGGTTGAAACATCTGCTCGGGATTATACGCCACCTCAGTATCTTACTCTGTTGTTCACTGACCTTGGTGTGCTGACCCCATCTGTAGTCAGTGATGAACTGATTCAGCTGTACTTATAAGTGGTTGATGATTTAGGTATTGTTCTGCTTGTAAGTGTCTGATGAAATGTGTTAAAAAGAAGTGCTGCTTACTCTGGATTCTTACTGATAAAAAGCTATGAATAGCGGGAGGTGACTGAAGTTGGAACTTGGAGGGAGGTAGTTCTTTCGCCTTCTGAATATTTTGACGGTCTGCATAGGAAGGAAATTTTGTGATTCATGGAATGGCTGGATGTGAATTGTGATTGGAGGAAGTGTAGAATGATGAAGGACGGTAATGTTAGTCCAACTTTTATATGGTCTTCCAATGCTTCCTAGGTTTGCTGAGATTGAGATTGGTTCAAAAACGTAATTGTTTGAGAAGGATGAAGTTCATTTTGTAAATTGCAATGAACTCGAAACTTCTATTCAAATGATGTCTTTACTAATCAGGGTGATGTTCTGCTAAAAAAAAAAAATCAGGGTGATGTTCTGCTCAACTTCTAATTATAATAATGGAACCTAATCACTTGTGCTAAATTAAATGACTTCTCGAATCTCCTCCGGCGTGTTATTCACTTATTTCCGAAGTGGGGTATAAAATGGAAAGGGACAGATTGAAAATTATGAAAATGCAAGCACATAATAATATTCACGTTTTTTCGAAAACCGGATAAAAACTAGATAAGAGAGTCCAACACCCAAAACTTAACTAACTCCTCACCCATTGGGGCCTCAGGCCACTCAAATCCCCACAAAGTTAATCTAAAATCAAAACTGAATTGGGACCAGACCGAATCAAGACCGGACTCTAGGGATGGCAATGGGTCGGGTTTTGCCAAACCCAAACCCATGGGTTTATCCGTGAAAAAAACAGGGGTAAAACCCACTGGGTTTGAAAAACGCAAACCCAACCCAACCCGCTGGGTACCCACGGGTTTTTGTCATAGAAAATTTACAATAACAAGTTCCTATCAAAATTAAAGTCAAATATCAATCTCTCAATACAAATTATCCATATATAGAACACAATTCTAGAAAATTCAAGCAAATCACAAATTAACTATACAAATTGTTCAACATCAATCTAGAAAACTCAAGAAAGTTGAAGCCAATCACAAATTATCCATAAATAACATGATTAATTGAAAGCTTCTTTCTTTCAATTAAGTTTCTTCACTCTCCACTCGATAAAATCAACTTCATTCTACACAATTAGAAAGAAAAAATTAGACATGTCTCCAAAAACATAAATAAGATTAGTTGTTTAGAATATTAAATATATCGAGAAAATTAATTATATGAGCGTGGGCGGGTACCCATGGGCCGGGTTTACCTAAACCCAAACCCAATCCAACCCGGTAAATAGTGAACGAGTTTAAACCCAAACCCGGCCCAAAACCTGTCAACACGGATTTTACCCGCGTTGACCGGATTGGGTCGGGTGGGTACCCGTGAGTTCGGGTTTTGTTGCCATCCCTACCGGACTCAATGCAATCCAATGCAATCCAATATTTAGTCCTTATATTCTCGAAAAGACCAGACCAAAACCAAATCAATTTGGATTATTTTAACTGGATAGAATCCGATCATATAGCCACGACTAACTTTAAACCTCACTTGCATTTAACAATGAAACTAGCTTATACCCGATCGTTGGTCGGTTCAGTTTCATTTTATTTCATACGATTTATTTTATCAATATATTTATATTTTAAATGATTTGGGACCTTTACTTATATATAATTTATGCACGCTTTAAAAATAATATTTGTGGTACACATTGTTTATGATATTATTAGATTGTTTTATAGGTATTTTTGTTGATTGATTCTTGTTACATTATGTTATGTGTCTTGTATTGAACTGCTATTTATATTTTTTTCATATTTTAGAATAAAATGTTGTCCTTTTAATGTTGTCATACACGATAAAAAATTATTTATTCATAATATTTGCCACTATTAACTTGATTTTCTGGTATACCCTAACGAAATTAAGACCATGTGTATTGAAAACCACATTAGAAATTCTAAGGAATTAGCCTACTGTTAATATGAAAGGATATTTGTGTGTTCGAACTTATCATGAAGAATTTTTTTTTTCACAAAGAAAACCACATTATTCCTATGCATGAATTGCCTTTACCCGACCCGTTGGTCGGTAAATTTTATTTTTTGCATTTTTTTATGTTAGTCAATTCCTTCATATTCTCAAATGATTTTGGAATTTTGTCAATAATTTATTGACAATTTTAAAATACTTTTTGTGTTACTTTGTTGATTGTAACTTAGTTCATATTTTTTTTATTAGGTCATCCTTACATTAATGTTGTCTGTAGTTTTATTTCCAAGTTTCAGAAATTTTTTGCATTTCTTATTGTTTTCATAAATTGCTTAAAAGATATATCTTTGTAATATTTTGCATTACTATGTTGCTTTGTACAACCACCACAAAAACCATCCCCAGCAACATCCAATCCAATATCGAAACCATTGCTAGTTGGAAGAGGTAAAACAATCATACAACAGTCTTGAAATAGTCATTGACCTACTCAATTAGTCGAAATTTTTTGGGAACGCGAGTAATCAAAATTAAGCATGCAATACTATCAAGTCGAGAGAGATGAAAAATAAATGTCCAAAAACATTCCCACTATATCAACCTACTCGTGACAACTCTTAAATATATGGGTTCTCCCAAAATATAACTTGCGGTGTGGCGGCACTTCAAAGAGTAGCTGATGAGGCAATCTAATTAAACAACACTAAGTCACTAACAAAAGAAATCAGTACCCTAAAAGTTTAAATAGGAAAAAAGATTGCCTAATTTTATGAATTCGGTCCAACCCTCTTGTATCAACCACGGGAAATGCCGAGAAAAGTACCGGTTATTGGTTCTCCAATATCTGCTCTTCATCACCAAAGGGCATCTTTGGGGCACCAGAAGTGTCTTAAGAAGGCTTATTGATTTTATCGTGTTTCTACTTCAGAAAAATAGAATCCCAAAATTAGAGTTTTTTCACAAATTTAACATCCAAAGCCTATATATGAGTGTCAAAGTAATTGGAAATAGTAGAACTTCAAGTGACTTAAATGGAACATCAAAAGAAACTAAACAAAGCAATGAAGGACACCATCATATTAAGTCTTACATTGCAGAACAAATAAATAAAAACATAGATGGATATATGACTCTATGTTGTAAATAAAAAATTCCACCAGACCTAACAACAAACCCGAATTCACTTTTCGCAATCAGTTAGGAGCTAGTCAACTCTAATTGATCCTCAACCCGGGAAGTATGAGCCTGTACCTGACTAATTGATTGCCCAAATAACCTAGCCACCTGGTTTATTTCCCCACAAATTAAAACCCCATAATGAGGATTCAAAAGGTTTTCAATTAGGGATTATGAGAAGCACCAAATCAGAAATTAGAATAAGGCAACTTACAGGGTTGGAAATAGAGAACCTCATATTATTCATACTGCTCTTGTATTTCCTCCTAGAGGGGAAAAGAGACATGTCCTTCTGCTCAAACGTAGTGGGCTTGAGCTGTGAGGAGGCATGGAGCCAGACCCACCAAAAGCTTCTTCTTCATCTAATAATTGTTGCCATCGCCCCAAGAATGCGGGTTGGATTGGGCTGCCGTTCTTCCCTCGAAACACCAAATCCTGACGAAAACTCCAATCACCAGAAAACAAAACCAGAATCAGGTGCATAAAGCCTGCTTAGATCTTTCATCATTTGGCCTTCTGAGATACATGTATCCCTTATACACCTTAGACATAGCAGGCATAGTAAACTGCAACATCAAAACACAATAGCAACCTCATTTCAGTCCAAGCTTGTAAACAACAGACTCACGCCAAAACATTATACATTCCACTTTTTCCTTTCTTCCAAAAAGCAATTGCCTTGATTGGAAAGGTAAACAAACTATACCAGAAAATATGTCTTACACCAGCGTCGCAGCTCGGTGCAATTATAATCCGGGGTCACTCAAACATCTGGAAATGGGATTAGTCAAGCAAATCGGAATGCAATTCAGATTCTTACACATGTATCGTTCAGCAACTTAATTTGATAACATCTATACTGTAAGTTGATCATCACTTGCCTGAAGCACGATAGAGTTAATTACATCAGCGTATCTAACAGCCAAGTTCAATGACATACATCTAGCGGATGTAATAGCAAAGCACCTGACCCTCTTCATCTGAACATTCTCCAACACCAGCATCGCATCGACACTGACCCAAGCAAAATGCCCTGTGAAAGTGAGACTCTAACTCGGATACTTCTCCTCCTACTCCTTCAAAACTTCACACTCTGGATCAAGAACCAAACCAGTAGCTTTCAACAACTCGTTGTGAACATACACACCATCAGTCTTCCTCTTTCCCCAATTATCATCCAACAACAACTTGTAAGCACACTCCTTCACCAGATTCAACCTGCAACCCGCTAGCACAATATTAGAATGGTCATGATCAAGGTAGAGTAAGTAAGGAGGCACCCTGCTTTGCATGTGAGTGTAAGTTCTATTCAGCTTGACCCAATCCGGGTTTATCCCGACTATCATTGAGGGTTTCTCAGATCATCCTCATAGACTTCTAAGATATAGCGGCACAAACGTGGTACCTGCTCGAATTCTTTGACGGTGGAAATCCCCCACATCTTGCTGTCGTGCCCAGTTGTGTGGAGGCAGCAATTACATGGACAAAATCATCTCGATAGAAATCTCAACTCTTTTATGATGCTCAACTGCTTTTCAACAAATTTCCTCTGTTCATTAAAGAGATCAATGACAACCTTAGGTTTAAGACTCTCACCTTCAATCTCAAGATGCTTTTGACCGCCTACATCAGGCTTGAATCGAAGGTACTGTTGAATCAATTGCAGGACTGTCTTCTGCTGCTTGCCTGCTTGTCCTCTTCTATGAGCTTGGCTTCTAGAGTCTCCCACTTCTTGCGCTTCTCTGCAGCTTCTTGAGGCTTAATGGAGTCAAGCATGAAGAGGAATTCATATCCCTTTTTCTTTAGCCTCCCCAGCAAAAGAGAGCTCTCCTCATATCGACAATCAGCAGAAGCAGGACCGATTGTGGTGCACCTTCTTCGGGTGAAAAAAGAAAGGTATGATCATTTATATTCTATTGGGAGCTTGTTCTTGTTCCGCTTCAAATCCCATTCGCCAGGTTTCTTCACATCCAAAGCAACTGCTATGGGTTCCTCTGCCTTTGGTTTTTCAATAGTGAGGGCTTCCTCTGTGTCTTCGTCGATCGCAGGCAGAAGCTTTTGTTCGATCCAAACTTTTCAACGTCGATCGCAGTTCTGCCGACTGGAGCTCTTCTGGTCGCGAGATGGGAAAGGACGGTGATGATGTTGCGGCGAAAGGAGGATCTTTGGTTTTGAGATTTGATGGTTGGATTAGTTATGAAGTATTCTGGGTTTCTTGGTACACGATGCAGAAAGGGAAAAAGGTAATTGGGTTTTGAGTGAATCGATCGGTGGGCAAAGAAGAGGGATTTGAGAAGGCGGATAGTGGGAGAAAGGAAAAGGGAGAAGGGCTATTGCATTTCCACGAAAGGAAGAATAAAATCCCGCCTAAATGTCCAGCCACGTCAGCTCCCGCAAATCACTCTAAACGCACAGAATTTTGAATGGTGGATGCAGTTTTACTTTTCCACTATAAATGATACTGTAGACTTCATACTAACAAGGGAATGAGGCCTTAGAAGAAGAAGCAGGCCGGCAGAAGAAGAAAAGGAAGGGGACGAGCCTAGGGAGTGGGAACAGGCCCAGGTCAGATATTTTTGAAGGGGTGGGCTTAGCTTTAAGCCCAGAAGGAGCAGTTTTTAGTGGAGGGCCTGGAGGAAAGAATAGAAAAAAGAAGTTACAAAAGCCAAAGCATCACCAAGGTGGTGACCAAAGGGGAAAACAGTCCGATCAAGTTTCAACAGAAGAAGGAGGGATACAAGGGCAGCGATGGTTCGCCAGAAGCCACCTCATCTGGAATGAGTATAGTAAGTTGGAATTGTAGGGGATTTGGCCCATCCCTTACAAGAAGTTATGCAAAGCGATTGTGTCGTCGCTTGGGCCCCTCGATCGTTTTTCTTATGGAAACAAGCAAGAACGAGGAGTTTATGGAAGAACAAAGGCAAGGTCTGAAATGCTTCCCCAATAGAGAGTATGTTGAACCGGTTAACTCTTCTAGGGGTTTTGCTTTATGGTGGAAGGCGGGTATTAGTATTGAAATTCTAAGTAGCGATAACTACTGTATGGATGTTAGTATTGATATGGGTAGGAAGTTTTTTTGTACTTTTGTTCATGCACCCTCTACAACTATGAGTAGACGGGGTTTTTGGAGCACCTGAGCTCTCTTCGGAGTAGTAGGGATGATATCTCGGTGATTGTAGGGGATTTCAATGCTGCTATCTATGAGAATGAGAAAGAAGGGAGATGTCCCCTTAGGTACGAGAATGTGGAACCATTTAAGAGGTTCATCTTCTACAATGCTCTAATTGACTTGGGTTTCAAGGGGGAACCATTCACTTGGACCAACAAGCGAACATGACTAAATTTGACGAGAGTCAGATTAGATCGTGTGCTTTGTTCGGCCTCCTGGCGGGCTTTATTTGGGGAAGCAGTGTCTTCCATGAAAAGATGGTGGATTCTGATCATTGCCCCAGCAGATTAGAACTTCACTATAAAGGAAGAAGGAACAGAAAGAAAATGTGGAGGAAGAGAAAAGACTAACAGAGGAACTGACAAAGCTCTGGAGGGATGAAGAGTCTTTCTGGAATCAATGCTCAAGGGTGAATTGGCTTCAAAAAGGTGATCAAAACAATTCTTTCTTTCACGCTAGCACTATTCATAGGAAGCATAGGAACAAGATTTTGAGACTGAAAGATGATGGAGGGAACTGGATTGAAGATGAGAATAGGCTCAGAGGTCTCTCTGAGGGCTATTTTAAGGATCTCTTTAGAGCTAGAAACCCAATCCAGGACAATCACTTATTGGATGGCTTTCCAGCAAAAGTGACAAATGAGATGAATGAGGATCTATGTGCCCCGGTAACCAATGAGGATATAAGAAAAGCAGTTTTTTCTTTGGGTGCTAGGAAAGCCCCAGGACCAGATGGTTTTTCGGGGAGATTCTACCGAAGATATTGGGATATTATTGGGGAGACCCTCTATAGAGAAGTTATAGGATTCTTTGAGACAACGGTTTTGCCGGAGGGATGGAATGATACTCATATTGTTATGGTCCCAAAGGTTGACAACCCGGAAAGAATCAATCAGTTCCGTCCTATTAGTTGCTGTAATTTTAGATATAAAATCATATAAAAAATTATGGCTACCCGCCTCAAAAAATGGACACCTGATTTGGTTTCGGAGCTCCAAACGGCATTTACTGGGGGTAGACTGATACAAGACAATATCATCATAGTGCACGAGGCACTTCACCATTTCAAAAACCACAAACGGGGGCGTAGAAGAGATATGATGTTGAAGTTGGATATGAAGAAGGCGTATGATATGGTCGACTGAGAATGCTTAGAAACCCTTCTGATGAAGTATGGGTTTGATAACAAGTGGTGCAACTGGGTCAGTACATGTATCCGCTCTGTCAGATTCTCTATTCTTTTCAATGGGGAAGCAACAGATTTCTTCAGACCCTCCAGAGGCATCAGACAAGGAGACCCGCTATCACCTTTCTTGTTCATTCTCATGTCTAATGCCCTTACTTTCTTGATTGATAAGGCCGTGGCCGAAGACCAGCTTAAGGGGATTAAATTGAACGCCAGATGCCCTGTTCTCACCCATTGTCTCTTTGCTGATGATACGGTCATTTTTGGAAAGGCAAACCTCCAGGAAGCGCAGAAAATTCTGGATCTGATAGGGGAGTATGGAGCAATCACAGGACAAGAAGTGAATATCAGCAAGTCTTCTGTTTTCTTCAGTGCTAATGTCTCGGCAGTGGACAACGCTGATATCATTGCCCACATTGGATTTGCTTCATCAAACTGTCACTCGAAATATCTGGGGGTCCCGACGGAGTGGGGTAGCTCCAAAAAAGAAACCTTCTTCTTCCTTATCCAAAGAATGGAAAAGATGGGGGGAGCTTGGAAGAGTCTCTTGCTCTCTCATGGGGGAAAAGAAGTCCTTCTCAAAGTTGTTATCCAAACTATTCCATCCTTCATTATGTATCTGTTCCATCTTCCAGTCTCACTTACCAAGAAAATGGATTCCCTCCTCAGTAACTTCTTTTGGTCGGGATCTATGAAAAAAAGTAGCCTTCACTGGTGTAGGAAAGAGATCCTATGTACATCTAAATCGGAAGGGGGATTGGGATTTCGGAGCTTCAAGGATTTTAACATGGCACTTTTGGCTAAGCAGGCGTGGCAACTTCTTACGTGCCCTGAGTCCTTGTGGAGTCGTCTTCTTAAGGGTCTTTATTTCCCTAGAAGTGATTTTCTCCAAGCAAAAAAAGGGAGCAGGCCCTCTTGAATATGGGCAAGCCTCTGGGAAGCAAAGAAAGTCATTAATCTGGGAGCGGTGCGGGTTATTGGCTCGAGAGGTGACACTTGGTTGGATCAGGATCCATGGATCCCATCTCTACAAGATTTTACAATCAAAAGCGGCCCCCAAAATCACATAAAGGTGAAAGAGTGGATTGATTCAGGTGATAGACGCTGGAACTTGGATCTCATCCAGGGCCATGTCTCCAACATGGAAATGGAAGCAATACTGAGGATCCCCATTGGAGAAGATGAAGCTGATGACTTTTGGGCTTGGAATTTTACAAAAGAGGGAAGTTTTTCAGTGAAATCAGCATACCATGCGGTTCATCAAAATGTCAACAATACACATCCTAATGGGAATGCTGAGAAATGGAAATGGATTTGGAGCCTGCATATCCCTCCAAAGCTCAAATTTTTTATCTGGAGATGCTCAAAGAATGGGTTGGCAACAAAAGAGAGACTTCTCAGTCGAAAGTGTGCTCAAAACTCGACTTGTCAAGTTTGTCAGAACCCTATTGAGTCCCTTTTCCACTACATCTTCTATTGCCCTCATGCAAATGCAGCGTGGAATGCTATCTTCCCTTCCATCCCCTTACCTCCACAGGGGACATCTTTCTTGGACTGGTTATGCTCCCTTAAAGATGCAATTTCGCCAAACTCCTTGATACATTTAGTCTTCCTTTGCTGGAATATTTGGAAGGCGAGAAATGAGTGTTGTTTCAAGAATACCGCCCCTTGGCCCCCGAATGTGTGTCTGCAAGCCTATAAAGAGCTCTTAGAATGGAGTTCCTGTCCGAGGCCCCCTACTCACATGCCTTCCTCTTCTACCCAGCTCAGGGGTTCCCAGTCTCATACAAATCCACCGCCAAGTAATCATTCTTTGGTGATTCACTGTGATGGGTCGTTCATAAGCGACTCCCAGCCGGCGGCATATGGGGTTGTTGTTGTTAACCACCATGGACAACTATGTGATGGGCGAGCTGAGGCTCTTCTTTGTTCCACCCCGATTGAAGCAGAAACGAAGGCTCTTCTAGAAGGAGTAAAATTAGCACAAGAATATGGTTTCGAATGTCTAGTCCAGTCTGACTGCCAAGTGCTAGTGAGAGCGTTGTCTCAAAATCAAGCAAATTAGCCATGGAGGTGTGCGGCCTGGATTGGCTCTATTGTCACGATCCTCAGGACAAACCCATTCATCAAGGTTAAGGAGGTATCAAGATCTCTTAATGTCAGAGCTGATTGGGTTGCGCGTTCGAAGGCTAGAGAGTCCCTTCCTGACGACTGAATTAATATTCTTGATCTAATTTTTGATCTTCTTTAAGAATGTAACCTATTTCCGTTTTCTTTTGATTGGTGGAATAAAAGTTGATTTACGTTGTAAAAAAAAAATACTAACAAGGGAATGAAGAGAAAAATTCTTTTACCAAAATAAAAAAGAAAAAAAAAGTGGAAAGGAGGAGGGCCAGGATGGTCACTTCCCCTCACTTTTGTCGTCTTCTTCATCGCATAACCCAACAATCCAGGGATTAATTCCCTAAATACACATTAAACTAAACCAAATTCCTAAACTACCACACTTATAAAAAAAATTCCCAAAATACCTAAGTTTGGAGTGGTTCGAGTTTGAGGAACTCGAACTACTAACCGGTTCGAGTGTAGAAGACTCGATCTACACGTAAATCGATGATATAAGCCTCGAACCATGTGGGGCTGAAGTGGTTCGAGTTCAGTGAACTCGAACCACTACTTTGAAATTTCCAATCATCATAACTTTGTCCTCGGTTATCCGATCGTAGCAAACTTTTTTTTCATTTCGCATAACTTTTCGAGGACTACAACTTTCATGATAGAAATATTTTCAGAATATATGTGAAAATGTGAAAATTAAAGTTAAAGTTACTCCCAAAACCCCTTATATTAAAAACTATTCCTATTTTGAAAATTTATTCCTAGTAAATGTTGTAGTACTCAAAAAATTATGCAAAATAAAAAAAAACTTTGTGACGTTTGGATTGCGGAGCACAAAGTTAT